AGAGAGAGAGAGACAGAGAGAGAGAGAGAGAGAGAGAGAGAGAGAGAGAGAGAGAGAGAGAGAGAGAACGAACTGCGATCATATATTACTATACTTCATGATCAGAGTCTATTAACAATTACAGACCCAATCAGTTGGCTATTTTAGTTTTTCTTCTTTTATTTTGTGTAAGACAACCATACCATGTTATAAATTGGGTACTTTTTTCTTTTTGGATGAATTTTATTTTATATATCAGTGTTTTCTCTGCATGTGTATCTGTGCACCACATCCATTCCTGATGCCTGCAGAAGGCCAGAGGATGGTACTGAATCCACTGAAACCGGAGTTACAAATGGTTATAAACTGACATGTGAGTGCTGGTAAGCAAATGAGGGTCCTTTGAGTCATCTTCTCCAGCTCTGCCCTCTTTACTCCCTTTTTAGAGAAAGGGATTACTATGTAGCTCTGGCTGGCCTGGGGCTTACTATGTTGACCAGGCTGGCCTCACAGAAGTATAGCTGCTTCTGCCTCCAGAGCACAATTCATTCACAATTGCTTATAATCACAGCTGCAGAAGATCTGACCTCACATCCACACACATGTGCTATAAACTCAGACTTACACATAAACAAAAGTAAGATAAATGTGAAAAAACTTTAAGTAATCTAAGACCTGGTAATGTAAGAAAAATATTTATGGGATGGAGAGACAATGCAGAACATTGGATGCTACACCACAGGACCAGGAATTCAGATCCAAGACTCACATTGACAATTACAAGCATCTGTGATTTTTCTTAGAAAGAGCTAGAGACAATGCTGAGCTGTTGAGTGCTGTTTTTTTAATTATATGTATCTATGTGATGGTATGTACAACTGATTAAAAGTGTGCCTGAGGGTCAGAAAAGGGTGTCAGATTACCCTGGAGCTGGAGTTACTGGTGGTTTTTGTAAACTGCCTAATCTCTACAAGACAAGTATTCACTCTCCTGTCCCTGGAAAACAATTTTTAAAAGGATGTGTTAACAAGGCATGCTGGCTCACACTTGTAATTACCAAAACTCAAGAAATTGAGACAGGAAGTTTGACAATGGCTACAAGTTGGCCTGAACTACAATGACCTTGTCTCAAAATTAAACAAACAAAAGGATATAAACTGACTATGGGGAATGCATTCTAAAAAATACAATGTTAGAGCACTGCAGTGGTCCCAGCAATTAGGAGGCAGAGGCAGGTGGAGGTCTGAATTTGAGACCAGCCTGGTCTACAGAGCAAGTTACAAGACAGCCAGGGATATTACACAGCGAAACCCTGTCTCAAAAAAAAAAAAAAAGTTAGATGTTTCACAATTGTTTAACAGCACAGACTACAGTTAGACAAACATAAATGATGCTGTTCATTATATATCTGTGATAGCAGTCGTACACATACACTTAGTTGTACAGTGCATGACTAGGTTCAATGTCGGGCAACATATGTTAGCAGTTATACACATACATGCAAATATATACACATACACCATGTATTACTAGGTTCAATGTTAGGGAACATTTGCTGGGATGGGTTCAAATTAAGCCAATATAAATTTTTACTATGTTTCTTAAAATCAGACTAAACAAGTCTATCTAAGATGCTATCTTATAATTCACTGATAAAGAATGTTTAGGGGGCTAGAGAGATGGTTTAGCTGTTACCAGCACTGGTTGCTCTGGGAAAGAATCCAGGTTTGATTCCCAGAACCCTCATGTCTGTAATCCCAAGTCCAGGGGATCTCATGCCTTCTTCTGGTCTCTGGGCACCATGAACACACGCGGTATACAGACACGCGTGTAGAAAAAACACCCACACACACAAAATAAAAATAAAGTAAATCTTTTTTCTTTAATGCATTTTTTTTTGTTTAGTTGGTTTTTGAAACAGGGTTTCTCTGTATAGCCCTGGAATTCACTCTGTAGACCAGGCTGGCCTCAAACTCACATAGATCCACCTGCCTCTGACTCTTAGGTGCAGACTTTAAAGGCAAGCGCCACATGGCCTAAAATTGTGTATTTTATTAATCAACACTGTTTTAGCAAAAACAAACAAACAAACAAAAAAAAAAACACTTAAAAAAAGATTAAGTCTTTATATATCAGCCTCTGTTGGACTCAAATCTATTATGTTGACTAAGCTGGCCTTGAACTTACACTACTCAGCTCAGCCTCCAGTTGTGATTATAGTAATATAACATCATACCCAGCTTAATCTGCTAATATATATTTTAGGTCAACTGCAGGTAGTATTCACTTTTTTTTTTCTTGTTAATTATTTGTGTGTGTGTGTGTGTGTGTGTGTGTGTGTGTGTGTGTGTGTGTGTGGAGCATGCATGGGAAGGTCAGAAAAAAACTAAGAGTTGGCTCTCTAATGTCACCTGTGGGATAGAGGGTGTCAATCTTGAAAGAAAGCACCTACACCTGCTGAAGCATCTGGACAAGCCCCACCTTTTTTTGGGGACAGGGTCTCTTACTTTACTTAACTCTAGTTCTAGGCCCTCCACCAGCATGGGATGTATATACTGGAGATGGAGAGTTAATAGCAGTTATTGTTCTTGCAGAAACACATGTGCTTGCAGATAAAACCTCATCACATGAAATTAAAGAAACAGAAACTTCTGCTATTACCTTTATCTTTCTTGAAATCTAGTGCATCTTGTTTGTCTGTGACAATCTCCTTCATGTTAACAACACTTCGATGGACTAACTGACGAAGGATTTTGATCTCCCTGATGGCTGTGATTGGGAAGCCCTCCTTCTCATTGTCTAGCCGAACCTTCTTCAGAGCTACTAGTTCTCCTGCAAAAACACACGCACACTGTCACAATAATCAACTCAAAGTTCTTTTTGAGCTGTTTTCTTTGTCATTAATCTTTGAAGGACAACAATGTTTATTTGTAATTTGCCTTTATTGGTACCATAAATATCCTAGAGATAATTTAAACTACACAGGAGGATGGGCAAAGGTTACATGCAAATATTATGTTTTCTATGTCAAGGACTTGGTACCAGGAGGTCCTGGAGCACACACTAAGGGTTGACAAAACTATTCTTTTGGAACATTTAATCTACTTAATAATTAAGAAAACAAATCAGAACCTAAAACATTTTTCTAAATCTATTTAAATATTAGTAATTGTTAAATTTTTACGCTTCTGACATCAAAAATTTATGGAAATACTTACCTGTGTCTTTGTCCTTGGCTTTATATACTTGGCCATAGGTTCCTTCTCCAATAATCCCAATAATGTCAAACTTATCTACGCATCGCTTTCCCCAATCACTTTCTGTTTGTCTTCTTTCTCCATAACGAGGACAACAAATTCTAGAAAGAAAACCAGTAAAAACCATTACTTTTTGCCATTAAGTGACTGCCTTTTTATAAAATTTTTGTTGAAATGACAGAAATGAAATGAAATAATAAACTGTCAGTGATTATAATGGAATTCTGGCTTCAAAAGATACAAGGTTGTGGCAGGACATGTGGGTTTTCACTAAATACATGGATTGCTTTTCCAAAAAAAATGTGGCTAGGACTAGCATGATGGTGTCAACTTTTTTTTTTGAGACAGGATCTCACTATGTAGCTAGGGCCCTGGCTGTCCTGGAACTCACACTATAGACCAGGCTGGCCTTAAAGGATCAACCTGCCTCTACCTTCCAAGTGCTGGGATTAAAGACATGCAATTTCTCTGAGTTCTAGGCCAACCAGGGATACACAGGAAGACCCTGTCTCAACAACAACAAAAATGTTAGCTATGTATTATGCTTGGTGGTTTGAATGAGAACTATTCCCATAGGCTTATGCAGTAGAATTCTTGATAGCGTTAGAAAGATTAGGAAGTGTAGCCTTTTTGAAAGAAGTGTGTACTGGAGATGGGCTTTGAGATTTCAAAAGCCCAAGCCAGGCCCAGTGTTGCCCCCGCTATTTGCCTACGGATCAGGATGTAGCTCTCAGGATGGTCCTTGCAGGCCACCATGCTCCAAAACATGGGAATAGACCAAATGTCTGAAACTGGAAGGAAGCCCCCAATTAAATGGTTTCTTTCACAAGAGTTGCTAGGCCAAAGTGTCTCTTCACAGCCATAAAATAGTAACTAAGATAGCTATCCGTAGGAACAGATAGGCATCCTTGCAAGGAAGACCATTTTCTTATAAAATTGAAATAAGAGATATATTTGTTGGCTCTCACATCTATGAGTTGTGGAAGATATATAAATTTTAGATTTAAAACAAAAGATAAGCTTTTTAATTAAAAAGAGATCCCTAAGCTGGGTGGTGGTGGCTCATGCCTTTAATCCCAGCATTTGGGAAGCAGAGTCAGGCAGATCTCTGAGTTTATACCAGCTCAGGCTACACAGTAAGTTCCGGGACAGCCAGGGCTACACAGAGAAACCCTGACTAGAAAAACCAAAAAAGAGAAAAAAGAAAAAAGAAAGACCCCTAAGGCATTGGTGAAATGGCTCAGCAGTTAAAAGGCATGGACCAGGGTTCAATTCCCAGCACCTACATGGTGGCTTATAACTGAATATAACTGCAGTCCCAGGAGATCCAGCACACTCGTTTGGCCTCCTGGAGTACAAGTTACATATTTAAGGCACAAAAACACATAAAGAAAAAATACTCATATACATAAAGTATAAAAATTATACATCTCTGGAAAACTTACTTTGGTCTCTTTTTATATGGTTGTTGAGGAGGTGTAATCGCCTTTGGCTCTGGAGAATCTGGGGGAGATGGATCTCCACCTGGTAGCTCAGGAGGAAGAGGCAAGTCTGTGAGTAAGTGGCGAGTCCTCTGCTCCTTCTCTTTCTTTGCAGGTTTTGACGGAAGCATTTCTTTTGGACTAAATACAGATGAAAGGATAAGAAGATTGCTCAGAGACTACGCTAATAAAGCTTTAAAAGAACATTATAATGCCCAACTATTAAAATGATTAAGACTTTACTTATGGGAGCTAGAGAGATGGCTCAGTGGCTAAGAGCACTGGTGGCTCTTTCAGAGGACTGCTGTTCAATTTCCAGCACCCACATGACAGCTCACAACTGTCTATAATTCCAGTCCCAAGGAATGCCTTGTCCTCTTTTGACTTCTGTGGGAACCAGACACACAGGGTGTACATACATAAATGTAGGCAAAACATTCATACCCATAACAATAAACCTAAAAAAAGAAGACTAAAAAGTTAGAACTTAGTGAAGTATATTAGTTACATCCTGAATAATATAACCAACTTTTAAAGAACATGATTTGGTGTTTACATTTTATCAAATATTAAAATAATAAAGTAAGCATTGTGAATATGGCTACTTCCTAATGTGTGAAAATATTGGGGGAATGTGCTTAATATATTAATATTTGAGGTATACTTTTATAAAAAAAAATTTAATGCAACTTTTTGTTTGTTTTTTTGTTTTTGTTTTTAGAGACAGGGTTTGTCTGTGTAGCTTTGTGCCTTTCCTGGATCTCGCTCTGCAGACCAGGCTGTCCTCGAACTCACACAAGATCTGCCTGCCTCTGCCTCCCAAGTGCTGGGATTAAAGGTGTGGGCCACCATCGCCTGGCTTTAATTCAATTTTTAAGGATTATTTATTTATATGTACAATGTTCTGCCTGTATGTATGCCTGTGGGCTAGAAGAGGGCACCAGATCTCATTACTGATGGTTGTGAGCCACAATGTGGTTGCTAGGAATTGAACTCAGGACCTCTGGAAGAGTAGCCAGGTCTCGTAACCTCTGAGCCATCTCTCTAGCCCATAGTGATAAAATTCTTGCCTAGCAAGTGTCAGACTCCAAGTTAAATACGCAATACCTGGTGAGGAAGGGGAAGGATCTAAACTTGGTAAGGTGTAGGCAGGAGGATCAGAAATTAAAAGAGGCCAGCTTCAACTACATAGAAAGTTCTTTTTGTTTTGCTTTGTTTTGTTTTTCTTTTTGGCTTTTCAAAGACACGGTGTCTTTGTGTAACCACCATAGCTGTCCTGGAAATCTCTCTGTAGACAAGACTGGCCTCAAACTCAGAGATCCACCTGTTGATGAGCCCAGAGTGCTGGGATTAAAGGTGTGCCAACACTGAATAGCTTACACAGCGAAGTTTTTAAGACTAGCAACTATATGCAATCCCATTTCAATATTTAAAACAATACAAAAACTCTATTTAACGGCACTCCTGAAATTTCAAATTTTCTGAGATGAAATAAAATATACAAAGCAAGTTCTAAAAGTCACAATGTATGACTGAAACTCATACAATTTATGAAACTTACTCTTTAACAAAAGATAACTTTCTCTAACAAAAGATTTAAATGAAAGAAGTCAACAATTTGAAAATACTTGATTACTAAGGACGTAAAAAGAACTTAGGAAAAGGAAATACTATATGAAACTGTTTTACAGCTAATTTGACACAAAACTACTGAAAAATATACATAAGAACTTTAGTTATTTGGGAACTGAATTCACTGATCTTGGACCACACAAATAAGTACTCTCAAACTAAAAAGGTAAAAAAGTTCAAGCAGCAATTTCAGACTTATTAAGATCCTGACAGGGGCTGGAGAGATGGCTCAGTGGTTAAGAAGAGCACTGGCTGCTCTTGCAGAGGTCTTGAGTTCAATTCCCAGCAACCACATGGTGGCTCACAACCATCTGTAATGAGGTCTGGTGCCATCTTCTGGCCTGCAGGGATACATGCAGGCAGAACACTGTATGTATAATAAATCTTTACAACTATGAACAAATATAGACAATTAGAAGGTATTCAGTTTAATGGGTAGATAAACATTATAAATTTTTATTTAAAAAAAAAAAAAAGACCCCAACAGGACTCATATAGCCAGCAAATTATACTAGTCAGTATGGAAAAACCTAAAGACAGCTTCCTAGGAATCAAAAAACTACTCAAATTTGGGGATCTTCATCCTTTTTTTGGGGACAAGGTTTCACTATGTATTTCTGGCTGGCCTTGAACACCAAGGAATCTCTTACATTAGCCTCCTCTGTACTGGGATTATAGATATGTGCTATAAACCCAGATAAATCCCAATTTATAAAAGATTTACTTTAAAATTCTGTGTGTGTGTGTGTGTGTGTGTGTGTGTGTGTGTATACATATGTGCATGTGAAATTATGTGCTCAAGCAGATCAAGTATCACATTCCCCGGTGCTGGAGTTACAAGGGGTTGTGATTCACTAGACATGGGTTCTGAGGACTAAAATTGGGTTCTCTGAAAGAGCAAGTACCTCTAACTGCCAAACGATTTCTTCAGCCCCAGCACCCCCACAAAATTTTCTTTTAGATTCATTCATGAGTGCTTTGCCTGTAAGTATGTCTGTTCATCACATGTATGCCTGTTACTTGAGGAAGTGGTAAGCTTCCAAGTGGGTGCAGGGAACTGAACCCTGGTCCTTCATAAGAACAAGCGCTCTTGAGCCGGGTGGTGGTGGCGCATGCCTGTAATTCCAGCACTTGGGAGGCAGAGGCTGGCGGATCTCTGTGAGTTCGAGGCCAGCCTGGTCTACAAAGCGAGTTCCAGGAAAGGCGCAAGGCTACACAGAGAAACACTGTCTCGAAAAACCAAAAAAAAAAAAAAAAAAAAAAAGAACAAGCGCTCTTAACCACTAAGCTAATTCTCCGCCGGACCGTGCCCGCACCGCCGCCCCCCCCAAAAAAAACATTTTTTTTCTTTTTTTTCTTTTTAAAGATAATCATTATGTATAGTTTTCTACCTGTATGCCTGAAGAGAGCGCCAGATCTCATTATAAATGATTGTGAGCCACCATGTGATTGCTGGGAATTGAACTTAGGACCTCTGGAAGAGTACCCGGTGCCCTTCCTTAACCATTGAGCCATCCCAGCATTCATGAGGCAGGGGCAGGCTGATCTCTCTGAGTTCAAGGCCAGCAAAGCCTACATAATGAGTTCTAGGATATGTACTGGGAGGGACCCAGTTTCCTTAAAAAAAAAAAAGAAAAAAGAAAAAAGAAAAAAGAAAAACCATACACACACACACACAAAATTTTAACAGGTAATGCTTCTTACTAATTTTTATCATCTTAGTCCCTGTAATGAGAATGAGTAAGGAATCTACTTAGTTTGTAACACACACACACCACTGAGAAGTCAATGAAGAAGTCACCTAACTTCCTGTTTACATACCCCTAGGAAAGATGAGCATTTATCAGAATCTCCAGTCAGATTTTCCTACCAAAAAAAGTTTAATCAGCAAAAACTGAGACAGAATATAAGCTTTTAAAATATCTCTAATTTTTAAATATCTAAAGAAGGATAATTATAATTGCACTATACTGTAAAAATATTCTTTATAAATCTCAATTCCTCAGGAACTAAGAGATTTTCTGATCCATCTCTCCAGCCCCCTCATTCACAATCTTTTTAAAGGTTCACACGTGATGATTAGATTGCCTTAATTCTTGTGCATAAGAAATAGTTGGCTTGGCCAGGCAGAGTCGGCGCAAGCCTTTAATCCCAGCTCTCAGTAATTTACAGATCTCTGTAAGTTCAAGGCCAACTTGCTCTACAAAATGAGTTACCAAACAGCCAGGGCAGCACAGAGAAACCCTATCTCAAAAAAATAAAAAACAAACAAACAAACAAAAAACAACAGAAAGTTAACTCCTACCAAATTTTACAATCTTGAAGTTTCTGGTGATGAAATTTAAATTAACCTGTAGGTAGAATGGAAACATTTCTCACCTGGCTTGTTGGCACATGCTTTTAATCAAAGTACACAAGAGGCAGAGGCAAGTGAATCTACAATCAAAGTCAAAGTTCAGGCCAGTCAGGTACTACACCGTACCTGGTATTTATTTATTTATTTATTTATTTATTTATTTAGATTCTTTGACCTATGTAGGGTCTCTCTACATAGCTCTGACTCTCCTGGGGCTCAGGATGTAGGAACTCATACAGTTCAACCTACCTCTGCCTCTCCAGTGCTAGGATTAAAGACATGAGCCACTGCACCCAGCTGTATCTTTGTGTTTTAAAATAGGTTCTCTTCCTGTACCTGTGGATTGCTTGATATTTCATATGCTGATCAGACTGGCATTACACTTCCTATGATATCCCTGTTTTAAACTACTGAGTACTGAGATTAGAGGTATGTGCCACCATACCTAGAGTGTCTTTTGGGGAGCAGGGATGTCAAGAAATCCCAGGGCTCAGGCCATGAAGTAGGAGGAATCCCATGAGTCAGATAGGATTTACACAGTACATTCCAAACCAGCCTGGTCTACAAGCATATTAGAGGTCACCCAAAGCTATATAATAAGACCCTGTCTCAAAAACAAACAGAAACTGCAAACAAGGGGCTGGAAAGATGGCTTAGCAGTTTAGAGCACTTGTTGTAGAGAATTGGGGCACCTACCTGTATGGTGATATTTTATTTGTACTGAAATGTGATTTTAATTTTATGTTAATAAATAAAGTTGCCCTGGGGTCAGAGCTATTAGAGCCATAGCAAGAGCGTGGCGGTTAGAAGAGCTAGGTAGATTTCTGTGTGTTCAGGGATACAGCCAGTATTGGAGACATATGCCTTTAAGACCTGGAGGGAGGTACTTACAGGCAGTGATGAGGCAGTTATGTGGTTGGGTTTACAACCAATGAGAAGGCAGAACAGAAGGACTAAAGACAGACAAACAGGAAGAAGCTCTCTCTCGGGGAAGCTAGGAGCACTGCAGGAGGTAAGATTTTAGCTCTGAGCTCTGACCTCTCTCGGCTTTCTCTTTTACATTGGCTCTGTGTTTCTTATTTTAATAAGACGATTAGTTACATCTATATACCGGTTGGCTCACAACTATCCTATAATTTCAGGTTTAGGGAGATCTGACACTGCTGGCCTCCTACATTCATATGCATAATACTTTTCCACATATAAACACAATTAAACAATGAATCTTAAAAAAAAAAGTTCTTTTGAGGGCTGGAGAGTTGATTTGGTGGTGACAGCTCTTCCAGAGGTCCTGAGTCCAATTCCCAGCAACCACATGGTGGCTCACAAACCATCTGTAATGATATCTGGTGCCATCTTCTGGCCTGGAGGGACACACGCAGGAAGAACTGTATACATTATAATCTTTTTGTTTGGCTTTGTTTTTTGAGACAGGGTTTCTCTGTGTAGCTTTGGCACCTTTCCTAGATCTCACTCTGTAGACCAGGCTGGCCTCGAATTCACAGAAACCCGCCTGCCTCTGCCTCCTGAGTGCTAGGATTAAAGGTGAGTGCTACCACCACCTGGCAATAAATCTTTAAAAAATTTTTTTTTTCTTTTTGAATTCTCATTAACTAAGTTCATTTGCTCTGTCACCAGTATAAACTTTGTTATCAGATTGTATTATATCTTCTTCATCTAATTATTTTTAATTATTTTATTATTTCGAGTGTATGGATATATGTATGTCTATATAAGGTCCCGCATGTAGTGCCTGTAGAGTGCAAGTCTTCTGGGACTGGAGTGACAGACAATTTTGAAGCACTATGTGACCACTGGAGGCTGAACCTCAGTCCCCTCTTGAGATCTGGTGCCCTTTTCTAGCCTGCAGGCATACATGCAGATAGAACACTGTATACATAATAAATAAATAAATCTTAAAAAAAAATTTTTTTTAAATCAACAGGACTGGAGAGACAGTTTAGTCAGTAATGTGTTTGCTGCCCAAGCATGAGGACTTGAGTTTGATCCTTAACATCCACATAAAAAGTTGGGCCTGGTGGCACAGGCTTGTAATCACAGCAGAAACATGGAAATTCAAGGGCTAGAGAGATGGCTAAGTAATTAAGAACACTTGTAGCTCTTCCAGAGTACAGCGTTCAATTCCCAGCACCTGCACAGTGGCTTTCAAACACCCATTCAAAGGATCTGCTACATTATGTATGATGCACAGACAAATATGCTGGCAAAACACTTATAATTCAAATGGGTTTTTTTTTTTTTTTTTTTTAAAGACAGGGTTTCAGTCGGGCGGTGGTGGTACACACCTTTAATCCCAGCACTCGGGGAGGCAAAGGCAGGCAGATCTCTGTGAGTTCGAGGTCAGCCTGATCTACAGAGCGAGATCCAGGAAAGGTGCAAAGCTACACAGAGAAACCCTGTCTCGAAAAAACAAAACAAAACAAAAAAACCAACCAAACAAACAAAAAAAGACAGGGTTTCAACAGACCTGGCTGTCCTGGAATTCATTTTGTGGAACAAACTGGCCTCCAACTTAGAGATATACCTGCTTCTGCCTCCCAAATGTTAGTATTAATGGCTCACACCCAGCTACATAAAATACATTTAAAAATTAAAACAAATATAAGGTGGGTGACTCCTAAGGAACAACATCCAAGGTTGACTTCAGAACTCTGTTTGCACACCTGCACTCACATACATGCATACACCCACACAGAATCATCACTCAAATTACTGATGTCTCCTAGAAAGTGTTAAGTTTGAGAATAGGTTTGCAATTTAAGATAAGCAGTACTTATTATTCTATTTACAATGAAGTCTATGATAGTAAATGCAACTCATCCCCTAGAAAATAAGAGGGTAAGATCTCAACAAAAAAGCCACTAAGACTATACTTCCATACCATGTCCCTGGCTTCAGTATATCTGTTTGGAGGTCTTGTTCAACTAGTATGGCTGATAGATTAAAAAAGCATTTCATAATGTCATTTATGAGATTCATGCTTCTAAATCATTTCAGTAATAAACACTCAAAGTACTCATTAAAATTTAAAATCTTCCCATCATCCCATTGTGAGTTATAGTCTAATTGGCAAATATTCTTCATACTGCTCTTTTTTTTTTTTTTTTAACTATAAGATTCGTGATTTTTAAAAACTGTATTACCGGCCAGGTGACAGTGGCACATGCCTTTAGTCCCAACGCTTGGAAGGCAGAGCCAGGCGGATCTCTATGAGTTCGAGGCCAGCCTGGTCTACAAAGTGAGTTCCAGGACAGCCAAAGCTGTTATACATAGAAACCCTGTCTCAAAAAAACAAAGTGTCACTCTACAAATTCTCTACAGATATTAAAATATTAGAGAAAAAAAACAGAGCTGGCAAGATGGCTATGTGGTTAAAGATGTTTGCCATGAAACCCTGCTGACCTGAGTTCCATTTAGAACCAATGTAAAGAACCATATCCACAAAGTGGCCTTCTGATTTCCACATGTACAACACGGTATATGTGTTCACACGCACAAATATGCACACAATAAACTTTTTTAAATTAAAATAAAGATATGGGGGGGAAATGTGGTATCAGGGTGCCCTCTGGTCTCTGATGCAGATGTGTATACACACACATAAATAAAAATAGCACACTTAGGCCTGGAAAGATGGCTCAGGGGTTTAAGAGTGATTATTCCTCTTCCAGAGGACCTGGTTTGGTTCTTAGCACTCACATGGCAGCTCACCAACACTTACAACTATAGTTCTAAGAGATCCAATAACCTCTGGCCTACACTGTCCTGTATCCATGTGGTGCACATATATTCAGGCAGGCTCATACACATACATATAAATAAACAAAAAATATGCAAATTGAGTAAAGTTGGGGCCGGAGAGATGGCTCAATAATTAAGAGCACTTGTTACTCTTCTAGAAGATTTGAGTGCAGTTCCCAGCACCCACATGGTAGCTTGGAACCATCCATATTCTTATTCCATGGGATCCATCACCATCTTCTGAACACACATAGTACACGTATACATACATGCAGGCACAATAGTCATACATACACACACACACAAGAAAAACCTAATTGTTATCAGGCATAGTGGTGCATTTATCCAGGAGATTGAGGTAGGATTCCTGTGAGCTTAAGGTTACCGGAGATTTTATGGTTAAGTATAACAAGACCCTATCCCACCCCAACCACAAAAAGTGCCCATCAAGATAATTCAGCAGGTAAAGGCACCTGCCAACAATCCTGATACTGGATCCCTGGGATTCACAGGACAGAAGAAGAGAACTGTCTCCCACCAAATTTTCCTCTGGCCTCCACACAGAGACACTCCATACACACTTGAAAATCAAAAAAAACCCAACAATGTAATTTTAAAAAATGAAAGGAACCCCCCCTCCCAAGTTCTAACTCTCTATTCTCAAGTAAAACAAGAATGGACTTTTCCTAAGCCGGGCGATGGTGGCGTATGCCTTTAATCCCAGCACTCAGGAGGCAGAGGTAGGCAGATCTCTGTAAGTTCGAGGCCAGCCTGGGCTACAGAGCAAGATCCAGGAAAGGCGCAAAGCTACACAGAGAAACCCTGTCTCAAAAAAACCAAAAAGAATGGACTTTTCCACTAAAAAACAAAGCAGTTCCTAACCATAAAAGCATCATGGATATGCATTCTAATAGTTTCAAAAAACTTAAACAGAAAATACATTATACATCAAGAAGACTAACTCCTTTCATCCTATTATAGGACTTACCTATCCAAATCATCATCTCCAGGTAACAAGGGAGGGAGGGGCAGAGGAGGCAATGTTGAAGTTTTCAGGTGTGGAATAGCAGCTGTTACAGATACTTGAGTCTTCACAGAAACCTGTACAGGGGGCTGAGAATTTGTCTGAGAGGATAGAGTAGATGTCCTTGAGTGAGGAGAAGAGGGTAAAGTTGAAGAACTAGAAACAGGAACTTGACTAAATGGTGGTTGGGGAGGAGGCAGAGGTGGCTGCAGTGGAATAGCTGGTAGTGGAGGCAAAGGTGGCAAAGGGGGCGTCTGAGGTGGAGGGGTAGTAGATGGTAAAGGGGGTGGAGAAGTAACTGTGGGGAGAGGTGGAAGGGTCTCCTTTTCTGACGTCTCTGTCTCCTTTGAAGTAACAATCACCTCCTTCGGTGCTACAGGTTTAGTGTCTTTTGTTCCCTGTGCTTTCAAATCCTTAACAACAGGATGCTTCTGCAAGTTCTCATCCAACTTAACTTTCCCTGTATCTAAACAATTTTTTAACTCTGTGTTTGAATGTGTTACATTTACCAGTTCAGTATCTGGGGTAGACTTTTCTGACTTTATACCTCTGGATAACTTTTTAGACTCTAACCCTGACTCCTTCACCTCAACTTTATCTTTTTTAGTCAAAGTTATGGGTGAACCCTTCGAATCTTTTCCATCCATTTTTGCTGCTGCTGCAGCAGCTGCTCTTTCCTTCTTTTTTCTACTGAGTTCAGCTCCCAGGCTGGAATTCAATGGAAGCCTGACGGGTGAGATACTGGAATGACGGCTGCGTGACCCGGATCTCTTCTTTTTACTATGAGAAGATGAGTGTCTTGAATATGCAGGACTTCTGCTTCTGGACTTCATGGATTTCCTACTGAAAAAAGAAAAAAGGCAGTTTAAAATAGACAATATACAGAGATAAAGAGAAAAATAAGTCAGTAACATAGGGTCTAGATCTGTAAATTTAATCCCATTCTGAATTATCAATTTTAAAAGTAGATTAAAGCCAGGTATGGAGGCACACTCCTTTAATCCTAGCACTTGAAGGGCAGAGGCATAAGAACCTGAGTTTAAAGACAGCTTACTGTCTACAAAAAGTAGGGGTTGAGATGGAGAAATGGCTCAGCCGTTAAAAGCATTGACTGCTCTTCCAGAGGTCCCTTGTTCAGTTCCCAGCACCTACATAGCAGCTCATAACCGCCTTTAACTCCAGGATACGGCACTCTCACACAGACATACATACAGTCAAAACACAAATAGACTAAAAAAAAAAAAAAAGGTAGGGGAGGAATGGGGTTAGGAGAGGCTAGCTCAGTGGTTAAGAACACTGGCTATTCTTTTAGAGGAGTGGGGTTCTAATCCCAAAACCCACATTGTGGCTAATTAACTGTCTATTACTCTAGTTCCAGGTGATCCAGCTCCCTCTTCTGGCCTCCCGGGACACTGCAAGTACATGGTGTACAGACATATAGGCAAACAATAAACAATCCATACATATAAAATAAAAATAATTATAAAACAAGTCAGGTATTGTAGTGCATGCCTTTAGCCCCAGCACTTGGGAGGCACAGGCAGGTGGATCTGTGGGAGTTCAAAGCCATCTTAGTCTACAGATTGAGTTCTAGGACAGCCAGAGCTACATAGTGAGACCCTGTCTTGGAAAACGCACGCACACAGAGAAAAAGAGGTTCAAAGTTGAGACTAGTTGGTCTGGCAGTGGCACACACCTTTAAATTCAGTACTTGGGAGGCAGAAGTAGGTAGATCTCTGCCGAGTTCAAGGCCAGCATAGTCTACAGAGCCAGTTCCAGGACAGCCAGAGCTACACAAAGAAACCCTGTCTCGAAAGAAAGAAAAAGAAAAAAAAAGGGGGGGGCGGGCAGCAGTGGCACATGCCTTTAATACCAGCACTTGGGAGGCAGAGCCAGGCCGATCTCTGTGAGTTTGAGGCCAGCCTGGGCTACAAAGTGAGTTCCAGGAAAGGCGCAAAAGCTACACAGAGAAACCCTGTCTCAAAAAAAAAAAAAAAAGAAAGAAAGAAAAAAAAGAAAAAAGGGTCAGGGGTTAAAAGCACTGCCCAGTACGTACTTGGTAGCTCAAACTATCTAACAGCCACTTCTTCACTTCTTATCTCCTTGAACACCAGGTATGCATATGGTACACATGCATACATGCTGGAAAACACTCATAAACATAAAATTTTAAAGTATTTAAAAAAGAAAAAAAGGAGCCGGGCAGTGGTGGCGCACGCCTTTAATCCCA